ATTTTGGTTTCAAAAGCTTTTTGAGGTGAGTGGTTTTTAAACCTTTTTGCATAAAAATTATTACTGGTTTCATTTTCATATTTCATGTTACTACTTTTTAGAATGAAACCATGTATTTTTGTAAACCATGTTTGAAGTTCGTAGCTTTTTGGGTTTGGCAGGTTACTACCGAAAGTTTATTCAAGACTTTTCTAAAATAGCCGTGCCGTTAACCAAATTGACTCGAAAGAATGTTAAATTTCAATGGGAAAAAGAACAACAAGAAGCTTTCCAACTATTAAAGGATCACCTCTGTAGTGCGCCGGTATTAACTCTACCAGATGGATCCGAAGACTTTGTAGTATACAGCTGATGCTTCAAAGTTGGGATTGGGATGTGTTTTAATGCAAAAAGGAAAAGTAATCTCTTATGTGTCAAGACAATTGAAAGAACATGAAAAGCAATATCCAACTCATGATATGGAGTTTGCTGCAGTGGTATTTGCACTAAAAATCTGGAGACATTATCTTCTGGGAACCAAGTGCCAAATTTACACAGACCATAAGAGTCTACAGCATTTGTTCAACCAGAAAGATTTAAATATGCAACAGCGTCGGTGGATTGAACTTGTTAATGATTATGACTGTGAAATCCTTTACCACCCAGGAAAAGCCAACGTGGTAGTTGACGCTTTGAGCAGGAAGGAAAGGAGTGGAACCATCAAAACTGTAGCAATGAGAATGAATTTGATTCCTGATATTCGTAAGGAAATTCAGAGGTGCCAACAAGAAGTTGTGAAAGAAGAATTTATTAAAACAGAAAAGTTGGGTAAAATAATCTCAACCTTGGAACAGAATAATGAAGGACTTATGTGCTTTCAAGGGCGAATTTGGGTACCACATTTTGGAGATGTCCAAAGTATGATATTGAATGAAAGTCATAAATCCCGATACTCTATCCATCCAGGTACCAATAAGATGTATCGAGATTTAAAATCTTTTTATTGGTGGCCAGGATTGAAAAGAGATATAGCATGGTATGTGGAACAGTGTCTGACATGTTTACAGGTTAAGATTGAATATCAGAAGTCGTATGGAAGTATTCAATCGTTAGAGATACCTGTATGGAAATGGGATCACATTACCATGGATTTTATTATGAAGTTACCTCGAACTCCAAAGGGGTATGATGCGATTTGGGTAATTGTTGATCGTTTGTCTAAATCTGCGCATAAGTTACCTCGAACTCCAAAGGGGTATGATGCGATTTGGGTAATTGTTGATCGTTTGTCTAAATCTGCGCATTTTCTACCAATAAGAGAGAAGTAGTCTTTAGAAAAGCTAGCGCAGATTTACATTAAAGAAATTGTTATCAGACACGGTGTTCCCTTGTCTATTATCTCTGATAGAGACAGTCGATTTACTTCAAAGTTCTGGGGAGGTTTACAGAAAGCCTTGGGGTCTGAAATTCGATTAAGTACAGCTTATCATCCACARACTGATGGGCAGAGTGAAAGAACTATTCARACTCTTGAAGATATGTTGAGAAGTTGTATTATCRATTTCGAAGGAKCATGGGAAGATCACTTACCATTGATAGAGTTTGCATATAATAATAGTTATCATTCCAGTATTCAAGCGGCACCATATGAAGTGTTATATGGACGTAAATGTCGAACGCCGTTGTGTTGGAATG